CGAAAACACAGAAACCGAGGGTGCGCAAGATGGCGAAAAGTGATGTGCACGAACCTGCATATCCACCGTGTGGCTCTTCTCCGGTGAGAGACAGCTGATTGATGAGGTTGAGGAGGCCTCATAGGACAGTGAGTCGGGCAGGGACATGGCTTCCGTCCGCGGCGGTGACTGTAGCTGGGACACCGTCTGCTGCATGGCCCTCAGACGCTTGCTGACATCTTGACTGACGGACAGCAGGTCACTCATCAGCGAGGAGACGTCAACTAGGCTGGAGAGAGAGAAAGGGAGGGCGTAAATCAAATAAATCGACAGATAATCAGTAACATTAAAGGACCCTACCATGCCCCGCAAACCTAAATGATTAAAAAAAACATTTGAAAGAAGCAGGCGTGCTTGTGGTAGCTGACAGAATGGATTCCAAAAGAGAATGTTGGCAGGGTTCACGTATTCAAATCAGCCACAAGGAAAACGTGTCTAGATTATGTTATAACCCGCGCCTGGTACTGCTAATTAAGTCGAACGTCGAACCAAAGAACCCGTAAAGTGAGACAGAGAGAAGACCGGCTGGCCAGAGGGAGAGGGAGTTAACAGAGGGAAGCACGTTACAGCAAGCCAGAGCGAGTCCTTGATTGAGTCACAGGTAAAACGAAATTAGGACAACAAACGACTGTGAACTATGTCCATTGGGCCAATCAGCTTTTTGCTGCCGGCGTGATTGGCTGAATCTCGGCGGCCCAGATTGAGATTAAATATCGAATTATCGATTGATTTGACTGCAAATTGTGTTTGGTGCCTGTGGCCGATCGATAGCCTGGTGTGCGAGCGCCGCTTGCGCAGGCTTTCTATGCGTTAGGTGTTCGTTAACAGAATAATCATGGGAATGGGCGCATTCCCAGAAGATTACTCAAGGCCTTAAATGTGGACGCAGGGGGGAGGGGGGGGCAAAGTACTCTGTGGAATCTAATTATCAGTTAAACGGAGTAGACGACCCGATGCAATCCGGGTTCATCGATACACGGAAGGAAAAGTTAATCAAACAGACACTCGCCGCCTGACCGTCATGAACACTATTCGGGCAAGCGAAGGAACATCCCCGATTCGTCGCCAGTGCGTCATACTGACAGAAGCGAACAGGCGAATTCCAGGAAAAACGTCGGACTAGAAATACTGCATAACCTGTGCATTTATCATCATTTTCTGGGGTTGTCTCTGATTATGGTAACATCAGGTAATCGCATCTTCGAATCCTGAAGTGTTTCATACAGGTGTACAGGGAGGCCGCTATAAGTTAATTGCAATCTCAGTCATTTAAAACTTGAGCGTCAAAAAATTATGGTCCTATTCCAGGCTAATATGGGGTGACCAATGCCAACTGAGTACTTGAAAGGACAGACTTTAAAAATTAACACGGAGTGAGAGAAGAAAGTGGCTATAACTGTGAGGAATGCCAGCATTCCCACGATGAGCCTTCGCACAGACAGGTGTCTGCGCGGAATGCCACGCTGCTGTCATGAGAGCGCAGACCGTGGCTACCGATAAATCTGATTGGTTCACGTCTCCGACACTTTCTCATCAAGCGGGTGCATTAATATACGCAGACTGTTTGTAAGAATGACTTGCTAAATGCAAAATACAGCTTTCTAAGTGGTCGATT